GGAATTGATTACAGAGTTTCAAACAATTGTGTTTCCCACATAGCGCTGAGAAATGACGCTTTTTTCCGCTGTCTCGCTACATAGGTTAATTCAGCAATAGTTGAGCGTAGATTTGTGAAAGTACTTTACCTTCCTCTGTTTCAAGTTCATCGAGAATCGTCAGCGATTCGCGAACAGAAACCTGCTCGTACAAATCAGATTTGCTGTAAGGCAATTTAGGAGATCGTCTATGACGAAATCGAAGACGTTCAGCGGTTAAGTTGGAGTTTGATATCCGTTTGAAACAGTTCTAAACAAGCACAGTTATCAATGAAATTTCAACTTAGCAACTATCAACTCCTTTGAAGCAGCTAAAACTGATTACCTGAACGCATTCTGAGCCATCGAGACATACCTGCACAGTGCATTGTGCGAACACTGTGCTTTGGTTCCCGAATCGGAACGTTTTAAACTTGGAAAAATAGACCTCCTCATTGACATTTGCCAGAGGATCAATAATTTCTGACATTTCGGCAACAGGACAACTAAATACTGCCAATATTTTCGAATCACATAATATTTCTGTAAATAGCTCGTTACCTGCTTTGGACAAACGTCAAATGCCGAGCATCTGGGGAAAGCATGTCCTCTCTATCACTGAACATACACTCTTTCGGTGAGATACCGTGATATGCCTCTAGAAAAGGTGTGATTTGACAAAATTAGAAGAGTAGCATAGATTTGATAACCCAGAAAAACTTCTTACTATCTGGCGTGAGAGCAACGTAAAATTCGACTGTGTCGCCAAATTTCGCAGTTCTTAAGGGTCTCCCGTCGATACTTCGAAACATCATTTCAACTTTAGGCTTCGGTTTTCCTCCAGTAGATGCTAGAACTTCATGTGCACTAAAAAGTTCTTTTTCAGTTCAAGAAGGAGAAAGTAAGAGAAAATAAAACGAACGTAGAGACATCGCTGTATCTTATTGTTTGAACACTCCTTGTATATAGACAGAAAACATGGTTGATGCGTACAACTTTTGAAGCGCTTGTGTCGACGTTGTCCTCAAGGGCTATAGTCGTTTCAGCTGTTCGATAATTTGGTTCCTTGAAAGATGAAGATCAATTCCCTCTGATTGATGTAATGAAACGTTTGGTGAATGACTTTCGAACTTCCTCCTTACATTATGAGAAGAAATGAAGACTTTGAACTTGATTTCTGTGACTGACCAACCTCAATTATCCATCTACGTTTCTAAGAAAAACCTCAACCAGCCTACTACTTCTGTGCCTCGGTCACAGTCAGCACTGCTTATTATCGTCAGAATTCTACATTGTTCATCTTCATACTTTTCAAAGTAATTTATTACGAATGTGCTTGCCCTAGTCCTCTTCAAAATAAAACAGTTTCTTTTTCAAAACCTTCACTCTTCCTTTTAAGCCAAAGTATCATTAATTTGCTAAACATAGGCTATAGTAAAACCCGCAACAAAGTTCAGAGGAGA